TAATAATAATAATAATAATAATAATAATAATAATAATAATAATAATACTTTTAAATTTAAAATTTATTTTTCTTTTATGTACATGTATATTTTCTCAGCATTATGTCTGTGTACCATGCACATGCCCAAGAAGGCCATAAGAAGAATCACTGGAACTGGAGTTACAAATGATTGTGAGCTACCATGAGGATTCTGGAAATTGAATCTGAATCCTCTGGAAGAGCAGCTAGTGCTCTTAACCACTGAGCCATCTTTTCTGTCATTTTCATTGTGATATTTTTTTAGGGATGCAGGTCTGGCTATGTTGCCCAGGATGGTCTCAAACTCATGATCCCAAGTAATCGCCCTTTTTAGTTGTTGGGACTACAAGCATACATACCCAGATTTTAATTTTTAAAGTGAATATATATATATATATATATATATATATATATATATATATATATATATATGAAAGAAAAAGAAAAGAAAAAATATAGGAAGGAAAGAAAAAAAAGATAAAAGGTATATTCAAATTTATTTTATAAAACAAAATCTCCTGGTTGGCAAGGTAACTGTTAATGGTTTGGTGTGTATACAGCCTTTTTATCAAGCACACACAAAACTCACATACATATATAATCTCCATATAGACACACTACAAACCAAGGCACACAAATGAAATTGTACTATGATTGTTTCATGATACATCTTTCTTTCCTTTTTTTTTTTAAAGAATTATTTCTTTATTTTTCATATGAGTGCTCTCTCTATAGGTCACTTTGCAGGCCAGAAGACAGCATCAGATCTCATTATAGATGGCTGTGAGCCACCATGTGGTGGCTGGGAACTGAACTCAGAATCTCTGGAAGAGTAGACAGTGCTCTTAATCAGTGAGCCATCTCTCCAGCCCATAATACATCTTTCTATCTAGCTATTCTCTGAGAGGTTTGTTCCTATGTTCTACATGGCCTATCAAGCAGTAAGGCAGCACTACAGAGAATATATAGCAATGCAGAGGGCATGGAGTGTTATACAAGAATCACTAATTCTCATTCTCTCTTCTCCCTCTCTTCCTTTCTCTGTTTATTTGAGACAGAATCTCACCATGTAGACCTCACTAGTTTGGAACTCCTATGCAGACTAGGCCGGCCTCAAGGCACATACCAGCACATACAGCTTCTTGATTGTTTTTGAGAAATAGTCTTGTTATGTAGCCCAGGTTTCCTAGAGTCTGCTCTTTATTCAGCCCAGGCTGGCCTCAAATTAACAATCTTCCTGCCTCAATTTCTCACGTCCGTCAACAGCCTAGCTCCATGTTCTTTTTTCTCCTATTATGAAGTTCTAATAGAAAAATACATTTTTACTAACAACTCTAATTCCATGCCTAGAACTGAAGGGAAGAAGTGCAGAGACAAGTCCTAGAAAAATACATTTATAATTTCTCTGGAATCCTACATGGTTCCTCCATATTAGCCATTTATCTTGCTTGACTCTGGCATCAGAAGCAAACAAAAGTCAGGTCACATACACACATGCACATATGTGTGTATGTGTATATGTGTGTGTATACATATATATGTGTGTATATATACGTACATATATATATATAGAGAGAGAGAGATAAAGAGAAGGAGAGGGAGAGGGAGAGAGATTCTATGTAGGTAAAGTGGAAGCTTTTCAAACATGAGTCAAGTTCTTTCAGAAAGCCATCTACTTTTCATCATCAGCCCCTGAGGTATTGAGTGGACCTAAGTAGATGTTTGCAGAAAGCAAGTTTAAACGCCTAGAGACAGCAGGCTGGTGAGGAGCATGCAGGGAAGTCTTACCTGAAAGCTTTGACAAACAACAGTCCAGGCATGTGAGTGAGTGTGAGTGTGTGTGTGAGTGTGTGTGTGTGTGTGTGTGTGTGTGTGTGTGTGTGTGCGTGCATGTGGGTAGGTTCCTGATGAGTGTTCGTGTGCACACGCTCCTGACCCAGTGGCCCAGTATTTCCCAGAAAAGCATCTCCACAGTGTAACCAGCTAAGGATGGTGCTGGGAAACGGGGTGTCTGCAGCTGGTCTGTGGTAAGGCAGAGCCCGCTCACCTGCATGATGCTGTTGAGGCGAGGCTGCAGGCTGCTCAGGTACTCCTTCTTCACCTCAATCTCCTTCAGGATCTTCTCCTTGTTGGAAAGACACTCTCGGTACTTCTCTGCCAGCCTAAAGGGCACCCAGGGTACTGTCACCGACACCTTTGAAGGGATAGCTCAACATACCTGTTCACTCTCAGACCCTACTTGTAACAGCTATTGACAGTTCTAATGACAACCAGCACTTACTATGTGCCAAGCCCTTTTAGTGAGTTCCACACAGGCACTATCATACTTAATAATTACATAAATCCTTGAATATATTAATGTAAACATTTTTGTTACATTTATTTATTTTATGTGGGAGGCAGGAAGAGGGTACATGCATTATATATAGCATGCAGAGATCAAGCTCAAGTTGTCAGGCTTGGTAGTAATTATCCCCTGAGCTATCTCACTGGTCTTGCTTTATAACTTACGCTGACTGACTCTGAACTCATGGCAATCTTCCCACATCAGCCTTCCAAGTGACAAGTGTGTCACCATTCTCAGAGGACAGATATTTCTTTTTTCCTTTCTTTTCCTTTTTTTTTTTTTCCTCATTTTGATATAGGGTCTCACCTATACATGTTAACTTCTGTCTTAGTTAGGATTTCTAGTGCTATGATAAAACAAGAGCAAAAAGCAACTTGGGGAGGAAAGCTCTTACAACTCTGAGAAATCAGGGCAGGAACTCAAGGCAAGAACCTGGAGCCAGAACTGAAAAAGCCATGGAGGAATGCTGCTAGTTCCTTTTTCCTATTTTCTTATACACCAAGGACCATCTGTGCAGAGCTCCCACTGCCCAGTGGGCTGGGCCCTTCCACATCCATCATTAACCAAGAAAATGCTCCACGAGCTTGCCTAGAGGCCAACCTTCTGGAAGCATTTCTCAACTGAGCTTCCTTCCTCTCAGATGTCTCTAGCATGTGTCAAGTTGACAAAATATTCACCAGCACAACCTAGAATTCACTTTGTAGCTCAGGCTAGCCTAGCCTTCCAAGTGGCTAGGATTATAGACCTATACTACCAGTAATAGCAAGAAGATAATTTTTAAAAAGAAAGAAAAGTTAGAGGACTTTTATAAAAACTCTTAAAACATTTATTTTAGTGTGCCTGTGTGAGCATGAGTACACATATGTATGCCGTGGAGGTCAGAAGATAACTTGTGAAGTCAGCTCTCTCCCTTCACCGTGTGGATTCCGGGGACGGGACTCAGGTCCTCAGGTATGACGGCCAGTACTCTGACTCACCAGCCCAAACAAAGTTTGTTTCTGTGGGTATTGTCTTGATTAATGATGTGGGAAGGCCCAGCATACTGTGGGCAGTGTCAGCCCTGAGCTGGTGGTCCTGGGGGGTAGAAGAAAGCAGCCTGAGCAAACCAAGGGGAGCAAGCCAGTAAACAGCATCCTCCATTGTCTCTGCTCTAGGTAAGGACTCCAGCTTCCTGCCTTGAGTTCCTGCCTGGGTTCCCTCAGTGATAGAGTGTGACCTGAGGGTTGTGAGCGGAAATAAACCTTCTCCTTCCCAACTTGCTTCTGGTCATGGGGTTCTATCACAACAACAGAAACCCTAACTAAGACAAGCAACAAAGGTACTTAGTCAATTAAGATGTCTCTCAGTTGGCAGAGGGCTTGCCTAGAACCCCATAAATCCAAATGTGATAGTGTATACCTAAATCCTAGCATTGGGTCATGTGGTAAGGAAGAGCAGAAGTTCACAGTCACCCTTGGCTATACTGAGTCTGGGTAAAGGCACTTGCTCGGCAGCCTAAAACCTAAGAACCCAGGAAGTCATGTAAAGGGAGGAGGAGAGAACCAATCTCTTACTTCCACACACTGACTATGGCACATGCACCATGTACATCAAGCACACACACAACAATAAAAGGTAAAATTAAAAATAACATTAGGAAAAAATAATAATAATAATTAGGCTGGGTGTGGCAGTGCACGCCTTTAATCTCAGCACTTGGGAGGCAGAGGCAGGTGGATCTCTGTGAGTTGTGGCCAGCCTGGTCTACCTGCTGGGTTCCAGGACAGCAAGGGCTACGTAGAGAGACCCTATCTCAAGCGCCCCCCCCCAATAGTGATCATTTAAAAGGAATAAAAAAATGGATTTAGTTCTCAGTTATTAACATTTTTTAAGATTTTATTTTGAAATTGTGTGTGTGTGTATTGGGGGGTTATGTGTGCATGAGTGGAAGTATTCAAGGAGGACAGACACTGGACCCCTGGAGCTAGAGTTACAGGTGGTTGTGCGCCACCTGAAAGTGGTGACAGGAACTAAAATGGGGCCCTCTGGAAGAGCCAGTATGTGCTCTGAACCACGGAAGCCATCTCGCCAGCCCCTCGGGTATTAAAATTTTAGAGGAAGAAAAATTACTTTGATGCCCAGAACTGTAGGATGCCTGCAGTTCCAAACACTGGGAAGACTGAGGCAAAATGTCTTGAGCAGTAGATTGTGGGCAATCTAGGAAATATAGAAAAACCTGGTCTTTAGACATTGGATATTGAACAATGCTGCGATTGTTAAAACTATGGGGACTTTTAGAGATGGACTGAATATATTTGCAGTCTGAAATGGCCATGATCCTGTGATAACAAGAGGTAGTATATGGTCTAAAAGATATGCCTAGTGTCATCTTGACAAATGACAGGGTTGCAATGGTTAATACTGGTCCTACTCACTAATATCTATAATCACCCAGGAGGCAAGCCAAGACAATTCAGCAAGTAAAACTGCTAGCTGCTTAAGCCTGATGATCTGAGTTCAAGTCCCAAAACCCACAGCACAAGAAACTAAATAACTCTCCAAAGCTGACCTCTACATGTGTGAGCACCCTCCCATCCCCCACACCTAGATGATCTTCCTAGAATACAATCCAGCGAGTAAAAGTGATTAAGTTCACTGAGGGAAACAAGGATGGACACACAGCTCAGCAGTCAACACCTGCTGCTCTTACAGAAGACTGGGGTTCAGCTTCTGATACCTACCCCTTTAGGCAGCTCACAACCATCACACATAACTAGTTCTAGGAGATCTGATCTGCAGCCTTCTTTTGGCCTCTGCTGGTACCTGCAAGCATGTGGTATACACACACACACGTATGCACACGCACATACACAAAATCTATGAAATCTCTAAAAGCAGGCAGCAGCACTCCCTGGGCCTCAGTCTACATGAAAAGGAGAGCGCTTGCAAGCACAAATGTTCACTGTTCTCTCCCTGACTGGGAACACACAGTGACCAGCTGCCTCACCTTCAGATGTGAGCCCAAATAAGCCCTTTTCCCCTCAGGTTGCTTGTGTTAGGGCATTTTGTCACAGTAACAAGGAAAGTAACTAACACAGCTAGTAACCACCAAATGGGTTTCACTGTGACATTTTCATAGATATCATATCTTATTTGTCACCCCTAACTGCTTTCCCCCATGCCTCTCCCCATTTCTACTTTCTATATAATTTTGTGTGAGTAAGAGAGAGAGAGAATGTATGTGTGTGTGGCTGTACTCATCCATGCATGCACACGTACAGAGCAGAGGTCAGGCCAACTGTCTTTCTCTACGACTCTCTGCCTAGTCTTTGAGGCAGAGCTCACTGACCCTGGAGCTCCCAGTTGGGTCGGCTGGCTAGAAACCTCATGGGATCTGCTCGTCTCTGTACCCCGGACTCACACCACTTCACCCAGCCCTCTCCCATGCGCTTGGGAGCCAAATTCAGGTCCAAAACCTTGCACAGCAGTGCTTTACCTGCTGCGTCATCTTCCAGTGCAGCCCTCACCCCCTGTGGTGCTGGGAACTGAGACAAGAGCCTCACATGTGTTGGGCAAACATTCTACCACTGACCCACATGCCATCATCTCCAACTTTGTATTGACAACTCTGACAGCCATTAGCCTGGTCAATCAAGTTTGAAGACTCCAGTGTGAATTAATAAGAGAGTGAGATCTGGTCTTGGAGCCCATTTGGTCTAATACTGGGTCATGACCAGGCACTGTCACTGCGTGGTTAATGAGGTTAGGAAGGAGGAAGGACTACCTTTTCCGCTGTTCCAGCTCCCAGTCCAAACGAGCCAAGGTCTGTTGGTGAGGGTCTCCCATGGTGATTTCAGCCTTGCTGATGCTTGGTGGAGCCTCTGTATAAAATTCTTCTAAACTGACCAGATCAATCTCTTCATGCTTTGACCTATAAACAAAACCCAAGTTATCAGGCGGCCATTTTCAGGACCCCCTTAGTGGGGGCAGTTCTTCCATTTATGCCTACGCAGCCCAAAACTACAGATACTTGAGATCCTGGAATTCTTTCTCAGAAAATGCTCAATGGCAGGCATTCCAGTGTGATGACAGGTTATTAGTGACATACCACAAAATCATTTGTCTAATCTGCCAAACCTATTTATCCACAAATTAACTGAAGGACTGAGAAGGACAGAAAGATGCTTAATGAATTTACAAATGTCTCCTTGCTGAACAGGAAACTATTCGCTAAGAGACTGAGTCCCTGCAGCCTAGGCTCATGCTGGGTTAATGTACTAAGTGCTCAGGCCATGGCCAAATGGATAGTATACTATATAGGTAGATAGATACTACATGTTATATAGAGATAGATACCATATGTTAATAAGCAGCTACACATGTTGGCCTCCCCTCACACATTCTTAGGAGATGGAGCTTTATCTCCATTTTAAACCTAATACTTATTACTACACAACTTACTTGTACTTTACTCTTTTCCCATTTTTATTTTCTTCCTTTTTTTGTTTGCATTTTAAAATTATTGTTTCTGTTTTTTTCAAGGTGGTTTTCTTTATGTAGCCTTGCTGTCCTGGAACTCACTATGTAGACCAGGCTGGCTTAAACTCAAAGATCTGCCTGCCTCTGCCTCCCAAGTGCTGGGATTAAAGGCGTGTGCCACCACCACCGGCTCCTTTTCCACTTTTCAAATGTGCCCAAGTTCAAATAGCTAGTTAGTGAGAGGCAGAGCCCGGATGTTAACTCCAGAGCCCATGAGTCTTCTTTGTGGCCACCTACCTGAGTTCCATTATGTTCTGACTTTGCCAACTTCCATCTAAGCAATGATTATAGTGTAGGGCATCACATTCCTTCATGTTGTTTTTATACATTTTTAACTGTCACAGTTTCAAAAATAGCACTGGAGAGGGAGATGCAGACCAAGAGGTACATTATGTTTTCAATGCGGCAAGTAGGTACTGGTATTCTATGGCGTAGTAGGTGAATATAATAACGATACATGTTGAGGAGAAGAAAAAAAAAAAAAAACAACAACTGCTTTTAACAAGTGCTGAACTCAAAACTCAGAAGGGGCAGAGAGGCTTCCATGGTTCTTTGTGTAGTTTGAAATGACTGCTTGAGATTCTCCACTCAAAGTTGTCTACTGATCCTTCCCCCAAATCCTGCCATCTTCTAAGCTGAGCCAGGTAGGAACAAGCATTACCACGGACTAGTATGTCAAAGCTCTGTCCTCCCGAACTCACTTGAACTCCAGACATTTAGTGATCTCCTTCTGGAGGTGCATCACTTCGTAGAGCAGGTTCTGGAGCTGCAGGTGGTAGGCATCAACTTTCTGCTTGGCCTGAGGGGAAGATGAAGTAAGCAGGGAAATCTGGGGCAGGAATGAGCATCAGTGAAGTCAGAGAAGGGGCAAAGGGCTAGTTAAGAAGGGGACAAAGAGGGGGGGTGAGAGTCAGGTTATGAACTTTCAGCTCTACCTCGTGGGTCTGGTCTCTTCCTTTCTTTAACCTGATATGGGCTAATCGGTTGAGCTTCTTGAGAGTCATGAAATGCACACAGCTCTGGATCCTTCGTTCTTCTATTTCAATGGCCTGTGCACAAAAAAAAAAAAAAAAAACAGAAAAGACCACTAACATAGCTCAGGTCCGTTCAAACCCTAGCTACCAAGCCGTCCCCATCCAGGCCATAAGCAGAGTCTAAAGGGAGCTTGGAACCATGAGAAATGTCATAAAAGAAATGGAAGAAAAAGGCCAAGCATGATGGTACACTAAGGGCTTTAATCCCAGCAATGAGAAGGCAGAAGCAAGAGTTCAATGCCAGCCTGGTCTACAGGGAGTTAAGGCCAGCAAGGGTTACATAGTCTCAAAAAAAAAAAAAAAAAAGAAAAGAAAAAAACAAGAGAGAGAAAGAGAGGAAGGGAGGAATAGAGGGAGGGAGAGAGGGACAGAGGAAGAGAGGGAGGAAGGGAGGGAGGGAAGAAGGGAAACCTGATTATATTAAAAAAGAAAATAAAAGAAACTGGGCAAAAAAACAAAAACAAACCAAGAAAAAAATGAATTTCCATTTGGACAGAAGCAACAGGAACAGAAAATAAAACAAGCACAACTAGCTGACATAATACCTGTATCTACAGACCTCACAGAGGCCTCCGCACAGCATTGCCACCCCATAATAATACCTACATCTACAGACCTCACAGAGGCCTCCACACAACAATGTCATCCCATAATAATAACTACGTCTACAGCCTCACAGAGGCCTCCACACAATAATGCCATCCCATGAAACTTGGCCTCTACAAATACTTTAAATGACAGTACCAAAAGCATAGCTATAAAACTTGGTTATAATAATAATCTGGAATGTAAGAATCTCAACAATATTGTCAGCATACATGAAAATATGTAAGACTGATGACAAAAAGTGAATTCTTCCTTAACTCACCTGTCTAGTTTTTAGATATATTGTTTAGTTTTATACCTGCCTGATTTAATTCATTTAACATCCATGATAATTTCATTTGGGGCTCTATGATTTATCTGCACATACTTCTCAACACTTTGCAAAATGCCTGATGGGTAAAAAATATGAAATCAATAATATCAAATTGCAGTCACAGAAAAAGTTACCTTGTACTTTGATCAGTGTAATGGGAGACTGAGCTGTTACAACAAATTCTCACAAATCAACAGGCAGGTCTCTGAGCTTCCAGACCCCAAACTCTCATCATGGCTGGGCTAGAGGACAAGACCAGGAAGGGCCTAGTGATCGCAAAAGGAGCCCAGCTGTGCAGACACACCAGATTTCTCCTTACCACATCCTTGCTGCCCTTGCTCTTCAGGTCCTGGATCTCAGCCATCAACCTTTGTAGCTCCTGGCAAGTGTACTTGTACAGCTCATAGTCTCTGCCAGGGTCCCGCAGGTCAACCTCAGCTTCCTCACTGTAGTACTTGCCTTCCTGTGGACGCAACAAGAGAGGTCTTAGGTAGAGGGTGAAGGGCTCCTTGCAGGATCAGGAACAGTAAAATGACAACTTTCATTATGTCAGAGCGTTACAATTGCAAGTGTATGGCCAGTCTGGTCTACACAGTGATTCCAGGCCAACTAGGATGGACACAGAACACACATACAAAAAAAGATTTAAAAACACTACTAGCCAGGCATTGTGGCATATTCCCATAATTGCAGTGCTAAGGCAATTTCTGTAATTGCAGGTGGGACAATATTGACTTCCAGCCAGTTTGGACTACAGTACAAAACAAACAAACTAACAAGCTATGATCAGTGCCAAAAGAGAAAAATCTCCACATTAATCTGGATTTCCTAAAACTAAGGAAAAAAAAAACCTGTTGTTTTACTTTTTCCTTTATTCTTTCCATAAATTCCCATTTATGTGTATCAGAGTTTATTTTGAAGGTCTGGAGTAATAGTGCAGTGATTAAGAGAAACAGATACAAAGGAACAGAAGACCCTGCTGGTAACAAGAGTTCCAGAGCCACAGAAGTCCTATGGGCACATGATTCTGGTACCAAGGATGAAATCTCGTGGAAGCTCTAAGCTGTGCAGTCAGTGCAAACCTTAGGAGCATAGGCAAGCTGGGAACAGCATGCTGGAACATGCTCTCTGTGCAGGTCCCAGTCATATTTAGGCTTGCCCCTATGTGAGCGTTCATTGTCAAGTCATGGGAATGCAATTATCTGGTTTAGTATGGGCAACCGGAAGTGTGTCTCTGGTGCACGAGACCCTGAGCTCCTGCATATGCATAGGAAGTTATTGGACCACAGTCTGCAGTTTCCCAGCAGCACAAAGCCCTGGCTGATCTCACCTGCTCAGTGTCAGATCGATTCCGTTTCCCTTCGCTTGGGGTTCCATCACTTCGGATCACTTTGGGTTTCCGCTTTTTGCTAGACTCTGATGACATTGTTGTTCTTCCAGGTCAGAGAGCTGTTAAGAAGAAAAAGCTTTTACAGATTTCCCAGAGTGGGATGGAGAGAAGACTCAGAGGTTAAGATCACTGGTTGCTCTTCCAGGGGACCTGAGTTCAATTCTCAGCAACCACATGGTGGCTCCCAACCATCTATAATGAATCTGCTGCCCTGTTCTGGTATACAAGCAGAATACTGTATATGTAATAAATAAATAAATAAATCTTAATTAAAAAAAAAAAAAATCCCAGAGGAGCTGGAGAGATGGCTCAGTGGATAGGAACACTTGTTGCTTTCCAAAGAACCCAGGTTTGACTCCCAGCCACCACTTGACAGAGTTCAGAACCATCTAGAACTACAGTTCTAAGGCAACTGACCTCTGCAAGTACCAAGTACACACGTGGTGCATATACATATACATGTATACGTCTATATATATATACATACACATGTAGTCAAAACACACATATACTTAAAATTTTTTAAATATATTGTATAAAATTTTAAAAGAATTAGTAAAGGTTGTATGGGTTTTTTTGTTTTGTTTTGTTTTTAAGAGAGAAAAGGCTAGGCATAATAGCTCATGCCTTTAATCCCAGTACTTGGGAGGCAGAGGCAGGTGGATCTCTGAGTTAAAGTCCAGCATGATTTTCAGAGAAAGTTCCAGGGCAGCCAGAGTTAAACAGAGAAACCCGTCTCAAAAAAACAAAAATAAATAAATAAATAGAAAGAGAGCGAGAAAGGCTGGAGAAATAGCTAGGTAGTTAAGAGAGCTTGTTGCTCTTCCAGAAGAGCTGGCTTCAATTCCCAGCAGCCACATAGCAGTTCACAACTGTCTGTAACTCTAGGTCCAGGGAATCCTACTCCCTTACACAGATATACATGCAGGTAAAACACCAAAGCATATAAAAGTAAAAGAAATAAGAGAAAAGAAAAAAAAAAAAAAAGAAATGCCAAATTCTCAGCAAACTCTTAGCCAAACTTAACTAAAAGGGAGAAAAGACCTAAATTAATTGATGTTATAAATAAAAATAAGATGTCACATGGATACTAATAAAATTCTGAGGCTCATTAGGGAACACTTTAAAAGACAAGAAAAAAAATTTCCCAGAAATAGGGGTTGGAAAGATGGCTCAATAGTTAAAAGCATGTTCTGTTTTGCAATGGACCTGAGTTCAGTTCCCGGCACCCATGTTGGGTAGCTCAAAATCCTAACAAAAGTAAATAAAGCTTTAATAGTTTAAAGAATTAAACTGGGCATGCTTAATCTCTGCACACCTTTAATCTCAGCATTCAAGAGACAGAAGTAGGCAGATCTCTGAGGCCACATAGTGAGTTCCAGGACAGCTAGGGCTATATAAAGATACCCTGTCTTAAAAGAAAACAAAACAAGTCAGGTGCGGTGGTGCACGCCTGTGATCCCAGTACTACGGAAGACAGAGGCAGGCAGATCTCTGTGAGTCCGAGGCAGGCAGCCTAATCTACAAAGTGAGTCCAGGACAGACAGGGCTACACAGAGAAACCTTGTCCTGGGGGGCAGGGGATGACAAAACAAAACAAATCATGACTGTGAACTCTGCTCTTACTCGTGAGCCTTCATAAATTTAGATTTAATTCTTGTCTGGTGTATAACCCTATCCTCAATACTACTGACTGGGTGGTAGACTTTGATTTAAGCACTTTATGGATATGTTCTTACTTCAGTATTATACAAAACCATTCAAATAAGAAGCACCACCATCTCACAGATAAGAAAACTAAGGCTTTGAAAGGTGATACTTTTCCTAAGTTGCACAGCTAGTATGGGCCCATCTGATCCAGTACTTATGACAACCACAATATTGTATCTCCCAGTCTCACCAGCATCCCTACGGCCTCCCTGTTTAGCTCTAATATCTAAAGAACAGCCAGGCATGGTGGCACATACCTTCAATCTCAGCACTACGGTGACAAGAGGTAGGACTGAAGAGTTTCAGGGCAACCAAGGCTACAAAATGAGACCCTGAATCAAAAAACCCAACAACACAAAATGCAAAAACAAGTAAGAACAAAGCCTACATTTTATAGGGCTCTACCTCTCAGAGTCCTCACAGCTTCCCAAGGTGGGTAGTTTTTGTCCCCTTATTTATCACCAACATTTCTGGAAGAAGCCAACAGTGTCTTCTGGGAGAGACCCGATTTGGAACTTCCATTGTATTGATTTATAGGTATGGGTCCCTCAACAAACCACTTCATTTCTGCTTCCTCACAAATTAAATGAACAGTAGTCCTGGGCGTGTAGGGGGTACTGGCACAAAACGCACAGCACTGTAGGTGATGAACATGATCTGGGATGGTGGCTGACTGACCTTGCATTATGCTAAACACCTGAAAACAAAGTTAATTTGCCTTGTCTTCTTTTTGGACAAGTCTGTGTAGCTCATGCTGGTTTCAAACTGGAGACCTTTCTGCCTGAGCCTTATCAGTGCTGCGATTACAGGTGTGGGTCACCATGCTGTGCTATCCCTTTTCAACTTAAAAAAAAAAAAAAAAGATCTGGCCAGGTGTGATGGTGCATGCCTTTAACCCCAGCACGTGGGGAGGGGAGAGCAGAGGCAGGTGGACTTCTGTGGAGTGGAGGATAGCCTAGACCGCAAAAAAATCATCAAGAGAAAAATGTGATTGCTTCAAGTATACCCAGTTTCCTGGTTTCTTATTAACACTTTATAAATGCCAAGGTTTTTGGAAGAAATGGATTCTCTCTCAGAGCCTTAGACAAGGAAACCAAGACAGAATTTATTAATAACTATCTGTTTTCATTATATTATGTATATTATGCAACTCTATCATAAGACAAGTGCAACCAGTTTCCTGTTTTTGGTACACAGATCTCAAGTTTTTACCAAAGTAAGTTTAAGTTTTTTTAAAAAAAAAAAAAAAAAAAGTGTACACCGGATGGTGGTGGCACACACCTTTAATTCCAGCACTCGGGAGGCAGAGGCAGGAGGATCTCTGTGAGTCCAGGACTGCATAAAACTGTGTGTGGTGGGTCATGCCTGCAAAGAAAACATTTCAGATGTAGGGCCTGGAAGGTGAGACATTCAAGATTATCTTTTGCTGCATAGCGTGTTCAAGGTCAACACGGGGTACATAATAAAATCCTGTCTCTAAGGAAAAAGAAAAAAAAAAGGATGGGCGGATGGGCTGAGACAGGCACAGTGGTACACATCAGTAATCACAGCACTTGATGACTGAAGCAGAAGGATCTTCGCGAATGTGAAACCAACCCGGACTGCAGGGGGCGCTACCGGCCAGGCTAGACGGTAGTGACTGCGTTTAAAATCTTCATTAAAACAGAGCAGATGGCACCTCTTCCTACTGTCCAGGCCCTTTGCTGTATAACTTAAGAAAGAAAAATCCTCCCTTCTTTTTCTTAAACATCAGGATAAGCAAAGTATTTAGCGAGGCAGCTAAACTAAGTCAGGGCAGCTAGCTAGCAAACAGAGGAGACATTAAAACGAAAAGCCCCGCCTCACTCCCCTAACGTCCACACTTGGCGCTCTCAGCCTTCATGCTACGGCAATAAATGCACTAATCCTTCTTCGCTACGACTCCTTGGAGTCTTACGCGGCTCGTTAATAAGTGAAGGGAGCGCCTGCCTGGCAGGGCCCTCCGGCGGCTGCCAGTGACAATCAAGTGGCGGGCTCACCTGACAAGGGTGGCACCGAACACCTGGGAAAGGCCAACAGCCTCGCCGGGGCGTTTCCCACACACACAGGTGGATTATCATTGTCACTGCTACGATACACTGCTGCTGCCATCAGCGCCTAAAGCTGCTGCCCCGGTCCTTTCGGAGGAGAACACCCACCAGCCCCGGGGACCCCGACAAGTGAGGCCGCTAGCCCGGGAGCACGCGTGGTGCCGTCTGCACCGCAAGCCCCGTGCAACCCGCGCTGACCAGCAGCCTCAGCCGGCAGCCCTCCGCCCTCGCTCACCACAATGGTCCTCACGCCTTCCAGTCAGGCAGCTACTTCCGGCTCGCGACCATAGAGAAGCGGAAGGAAAGAGCTACTGGACGGAAGTGAGACACAAAAGCCAGATGCAGCTTGGGAAGCAAGGAAGGGGCGTGTCTCAGCTGAGCTACCGGTTTTTTTTCTCCCTCTCTGTTTATTCCTGGCTGTCCGGGAACTCGCTTCGTAGACCAGGATGGCCTTGAACTCAGATAGATCCGCCATCTTCTGCCTCCCAAGTGCTGGGATTAAAGACGTAGGCAACCTTTCTGGGAAACTGCGGCCGGCCCTGTGGACCAAGAATCAGTACTTCATTCCCTCAACCTGCGTGTAAAGCAAAGAGCCCTCCGCCGAGTCACTTGAATGAACTCGTGGTAGTCTCAAGAACTTACAAGTGTCGCTGTGATGTAATTTGGACCTTCGTGGATTTGCCTCCTGACTTTGTGTCCGAGGCAGGGGCTCATTACGTAGCCTAGAACGCTATATGTGTATCAGGCTGGTCTAGAATTCACTGAGATCCGCCTGCCTTGGCCTCGCTGGAATTAAAGGCTGGTGTCAACGCGCCCAGCCCTAACTTGACTTCTTAACACTATCAGAGGCACTGCACCAGAAAAAGCAGGAAAATGATCAACTTGTTTCTTGCTTCACACAAGTGCGTTTCTCCGTTAGGCATGATTTTCCCCAAGACAAAAATCGCTACTCTAATATAGTCATTGAAAGCTTCAGGTATTTCCCATCCCTAGTATTTCTGGAGTAAAATCCTACTTGTTTGGGGCTTGGAATATGTATAGTGAGTACTGGGCTTCGCAGAAACCTCATGTTTTTGTCCTGGAATGAAGATGTCCTCCCTAAGAGATCAAGGCCACAGTACCCCTCAGCCAAATGGAAGTCGCCTTGCCTTAGCAGATGAAGACAACACCACAACTTAAGAGTAAATATTTAATTTGGTTCCATCAACTGTTCCAGTATATTCCTGGTATGGTAACAAAACCATGCTAAGCAGGGGTTCATGAGGTATGGGGGTCATTGGAGAGACCCCAGAATCACTGAACCCTCTCCACAGACCTGGTGGTTCTGCAAAATGAGGGTTTGGCTGACACAATGTCAGGCTGGGGGAGAGAAATTCAAGGTGGGACTTTGAGTCTCAGCCTGCATTCTTGCCTGGAGGAAGGAGGACAGGAGCTGGAGCACATGTTCAAGTTTTAACTGCACTGTGTGGGAAACAATGGATGAGCCTCTCCCTCTATCCAGGAACAGAGGCCTCTCCCTGAGGTCTTCTGTCATCTCTGTTCTGTCTTCCCAACTCTGTGTTTCAAACTCGCATTCTGAATCCTACCTATGAGCCAGCATTATCTGAAGGATTCCTGCTTCAAGTCTGTCTTTAAATCACTCTCACTTCCATCCTTTCCCAACCCCTCTAAACAGAATTCTGGATCTCCTCCTGACTTTGATGATTTCGGAGTTTATGGCAGTGCCAAGGTTTTTAAGGCTCAGACTTGCTTTTTCTTTTAAACAAATACAGACCAGGGAGTTCCTGGGGGCCATACCTGGTCTGACATCCTTTACACCCCACCTAACTACTAGTCATGTCAGCTTTTATGCAACTAAGCCATGTCCACAGTGTTAGCTGGGGACTTGATGCCTGGAAATGAGGGATCTTACAGGGAAACATGTGAATGCTTCAAAGGTTTCTAGTCTGCATTAGGGGATTAGAAACATCTTCCAGCACGGGAGAGAGGTGGGATAGGTATAGACAGATTAGGTTCTTGGAAGCAGCATCGTTGTCTAAGCTGAACACTGCCCGTCAGCAGCCTTCCGGAGCTGAGAGGATACCATGGCAGCCGCCTGGATGCTCCCCTGTTCCAGGTTACTCCAAAGGGAAGAAGGTAGAGGCAGTGCGGGCGTCACTGGAGAGGAGAGATCTTCAGAGGGATCATGATTCGGGACTCCATGTGTCGAACCAAGGGGACTATGGAGAGAGAGGCAGAGGTTAGGGGTGCCTGAGGCAAGCCGAGTACTCTTGGTCCCTGCCCGAAAACTCATAAAAGCCTATGACAGGAAGAGACTCTGCTGTCACTTGAGAGAGGCCTGAGGTTCCCAAGTTATAAGACAGGATTTAGGTGGTAATAAGCTGAATATTTTGGAATTTTTAGTCATACTCTAAGCATGTGAAGAAAACTAGCATGTGGTTGGAGAGACTCAGCGGTAGTACACTTGCCTAGCATATATGAACCCTTGGATTCTATCCTCGGTGCTTCCAAAGCACACAAAACACACAAAGCCTAAGAATATAAAAAGGACCAAGCCACATTAGGGGCAACATAGGAAGATTTAAGAAAAATGAGTGTGAAGCCAAGGGTGTAGTTCTCGAGGTATGTACTGATCAGCATAACAAAAATACAGAACTGTAGTAGCATACTCCGTGGAGGTGAGAGCCGTAAGGCTGGGGGTTTGATTTAGTGTAACTGCCCCTCATGCAGCCAGAGACGCCAAGCCTATGGGGGTAACAGCAGCACAAAGTCCCCAGGATGGCAGTTAAAAAAAATAATGTTACATATGTCTACATGTGGGTGTGTGCAGAGAGTGCCCACAGAGGTCAGGAGAAAACATCAGATCCCCTGGAGCTGGATTTATGGGCATCTGTGAGCCTCCCAAGGTGGGTTCAGGGAACCTAACTCCAGTCTTCTCTTCCAACAGTATTATGCCTAACCAATGAGCCATCTCTCCAGCCCAGAGTTTAGACCCTTGCTTCCTGTGCTTAATTTCTCAGACTCTAACATGTGTACAAACCCCCAAAAATCTAGTTCACAAAAGGTTGGGAGAAGCTAAGTAAGCATCTCTTAAGTGTCCAGTGGATGTACTTTCAGTTGAGACCACACTTGGAATAGCAAGGCTCATGCTGCCTCCTTCAGGAGACATGCTGTCGTCCACCAGCAGACGTGTGTGAGATTAACTAAACACATCAGGGGCCGGACAGACTCTGGTTTACCTAAAGGCCTCCCCTTAACATCCCCCACATGCCACACGGTGAAGACTCAGTCAGTTTCTACTGACTCTGTACGCAACACCTTGAGGAAAAATTTGCTGCATGTTTTGATGTTATCAGGGCAAAGCACTTTCCATAAACTAACTCTCAAAGTCCTCCCCACAGCCGGGACGGCATCTGCATTACCATGTGATGAGGAGGAAGGCAGTTTCTGTGAGGTGCAGGACTGACCCAGGGTCACAGGTCACATAGGGATCACCTTCCTGTATTAGAGTCCTAAAACCTGAGGACTAATTAGATTATGTGAAATGTATATCACCCAGACAAAACTCCACAAAGTAAGTTCCCACCTGGGCACAGTGGAACATGCCTGTAATCCCAGCAACTTAGAAGACTGAGGGAAAAGGTTTACCCAGGATGAGCCTGGGCAATACAGCAAGACACTGGGTCAAATGGTGGGGGGCGAGGAGGTGCCCAAGACAGAAGAAAACAAAGCAATGAGTTCCCACACTGAGATAATGAAGGGATGTTAGCTGTCCTTCAGGGAAGCTTGCAGAGCCTGCATCCTCAGGTCTCCCAGCAGACCACTTGCAAAGGTGTCCCTGGCCCCAGAGGAGCCGCTCACCTGTATAGTAGACATTTTCATCCCAGCCCCGCTTCCTCCAGGCTGCATTTCGAGTCTCCTCCCGAGACTGCAGATCTTTGTAGGCTGTGAGAAAGGCACAGGCTCATTCCTCAGAGAACCTGATCCCTTCCCTCAGCACAGGGACCCTTCCATTGCCCCAAACCCTGGCCTGCCATCCATCCCTTCCCCCTCAGGCTGTCAACATCCAGTGCCCATGTGGCATTTCGAGTTGGGTGTGTGTGCATCTTGTAATTTTTATTGCATTTATGTACTTATTCGGGGTGAGGGGTCAGAAGAAAAGTGGCAGGAGTCAGATCATTCTTGCCATGTGGGTCCTGGGGATCAAACTCAGGTTGTCAGGCTTGGTGCCTTCACCTACTGAGCCATCTGGCTGGCCCAACAGCAGCATCCTAAATATAGTACTCCCAAAACTACCTTCCAATCCCATGACCCAATCCTCCCCTAGATGTCCCTGTCTTAGACAAGGGCACACAGCTGCTTAAGGAACAGTCTGAATGCCCTCTAACCCTCTCCTTTCTCCTCCAGAAGTTTGTTCTCAAGTCCCACTGATTCACAGACCAACAAATCTGTCATGCTGCTGCCACTACCCAAAGCTAGCCCACCCACCTGCCTGAAGTAACGTAAGCATCGTCCCTGACCCGTTTCCAACCTTGCTCCCCTACCAGGCACTCTTGGCAAAGCACACGGCAGCTATAGAACGTGCATGCTCCCACTGCCTCCTCCCACCACATCCATGATGGACCCCAACTCGTTCCGACGGCCTGCAAGGCCCAGCCTGACCTGGTGGCTTGTTCTCTTCCACCCCACCCTCTCACATTCTGCCCGGGTTCCCCCCGCACCCTCCTCTCCTGTCCACTCACTGACGGCCTCCCCACACGCCGTTCCTTGCACTCAAAACTTCTCTCAGCAATTCTAACCTGGCTTCCTCACCCTTCAGCTCAGAATCTGTATTTTGCCCTTGAGAAAGACCTTGTCTACTCAAGCCAAAAAGGTCCCTGGGCATTTTTGTGCTGTCTCCCCCTGCCTAGCCTCCTCCAGTATCTGTCATCATGTGAAATGAGTCCGTTTTGCTAGTTTATGCCTGAGGGTGCATCTCTGCTACGATGTAAGAGCTATAGGAACACAAATGTATCCACATGTCTTGTTGTTGTAGTAGTTTTTAATGTCGCCATTGTTCTTGCTGTTTCTTTTTTCTTTTTTAATTTTATTTTATGTGCACTGGTGTTTTGCCTGCATGTATGTCTGCGTGAGGGTGTCAGATCTTGAAGTTACAGACAGCTGTGAGCCGCCATGTGGTTGCTGAAAATTGAACCCAGGTCCTCTGGAAGAGTCAGTGCCCTTAACCACTGAGCCATCGCCCCAGCCCTGCATAGTATCCACGTTTTATGAAGTGACAGGGGACAAACAGAGGCTCCTTGAGTGTCCCCAACCTACCCCATAAGTGGTGAACCACGTAGAGCTCTCCTATTTGTGAAAAGAAGCCTCCCACGGCCTCCTGGTTCTCCTGACGGTACTTAATGGCCCGAGCCCTGGAAATAGCAGAGAACATGGGACAGAGGCCCAGCCAATGGTCCCTCGAGGTGGCCCAGGCTGATTCCCTGGCCACACTTTTTTGGGTGGGGCCAAAAGGTAGGGCCCAGAGAATGGATTCTGGAGGTGGGGCTGCTGGCTGGTTGGCAGCACTTCCCACTACAGAATCTGCCCCATTCAGGTGGATCTTTCTCTGGGCTCTGCAAGGAACAGAGCATGCTTGGTTCCCTCTGACACAGCCCAGAGAAAAGCTCACTGGGAGCCTGATGGGATGGAACAGCAGGGACCATCACATTCCCAAGCGTAGTGGCACTACTTACCAGTTATTTCCCCACTCAATCATGGTTCCTGGCTGAAAGAGACCCAGAGAGAGGAGGAAGTGAGCCCCACCTTGGACTCCTAATAACACAGAGCCAGGAATGGGAAACTAGCCTTCCCCAGAGCCAGAGGCCCCATTCGAGGGCCTTGACTCCATCTGATGTGCAGCTATCTACATGAACACACATTCCTCTGCTCTGAGCCCATAAAGAGGGAGAAGCATCAGGCTGGCCCACCCTGACCCCTTGCAAAGCGACGCCACAGCAGGGAAGATAGAGGTCAAAAGCGGCTCTGTTGGAAGTGAGGTACCTTGAGCTTGTATGTCCTCAGCTCATAGATGTTGGGGCCAGCTCTGGGTTGTGGCTCATTCCAGAAGCTGAACTCCAGAAGCAGCTGGTTTCTCCTAGACAGCAGCATCTTGCTCCGCTCCTTCCGGAACTCCAGGTACTCCTGAAGGCAGGGCATTGTAGGCACAGTATGCCACCCTGTCAGTGTGCCCCGGGGGTGGCAGAGGACTCTGTCCCACACTCCCCTCCACACAGGGCTGGTCTGGAAGCAACACGCACACAGGATGCTGGGATACCTTGTTGGTTTTCAGCTTGTTCATGCAGTCCATGAGGGCCGGATAGCCACCTGAGAACCGCCATAGGTGCACTGATGGAGACAGGAATACAGGTCAAGGAGCTACAGCGAGCATGTCTGGCTAGACTGTGTATGTGGCAGTAGAGTGGGGGGGGGTCTCCTGGTTTCCTTTGTCTTAGTGAGGAGTAGTACAGGGTGGGGACGACCTTAGATGCAAGCCTAGGAGACCACCAGCTCTGCTCAGTTTGGTGGCCTTTGACCCCTCCTAGGACACAATGTCCTCATCCACAAAATCCTTAAGTAATAGCAGCAAGAGGACCAGATGAGGCTGGGGGGGTAGCTATTGACAAAACACGTGCTTCCCATGCAGAGGGACCGGGCTTTCATCTACAGCATCACAAACCAAACCAAACCAAAGATGATCTGAGCGCCTTCCACCCTGGGAACACCAGCACACACAGGGATGAACGGCGGACTGCCAGAGACAGGATGGACACAAGGAGGAAGTCTGACTGACCCAGGACACTCTAGCAGGGCTGACACTAGAGCTCAGTGGTAGAACACTTGCCTAACATCAGGAGATCCCCAAGTTCCATCGCTAACGCTGCAAAAACCACCAAACAACTGCTCTACAAAGTGAGTTAAGAACAGCGAGGGCTAGGAAGAGAAACTCTATCTCGAAAAAGCAAACTAAAAATGTTACAGATTAATTTTATATGTGTGAGTGCTTTGCCTACAGACATGTATGCACACTATGTGCGTGCCTGGTACCCATGGAGAGAAGAGGGTGTGAATTCGCTGGAACTGGAATTGTGGATGGTTATGAGTTAACTATGGGTGCCTGAAACTGAATTCAAGTCCTCTGCAAGTGAAACAGTGGTGCTCTTAACTCCCAAGCCACCTCTCCAGGCCCCAGCATACATTTCTTAAAAAAAAAAAAAAAAATTGTTGAGGACTATTTACTCTTTCATTTTTTGACTATAGGTGTTTGGCTTACATGTTTATCTAGGCACCATGTGCCTGCAGTACCTGCAGAGGCCAGTAGAGGGTGTGGGGTTTCCTGAAACTGAAGTTGGGAAAGTTGCCAGCCACCACGTGGACCTGAGTCCTCTGGACCTGAGTCCTCCGGAAGAACAGCCAGTACTGTTAACCACTGAGCCCTCTCTGCAGCCCTCACAAAGCATGAATTTTTGTTTTGTTTTCGTTTTTTTTGTTGTTGTTGTTTTGTTTTGTTTTTCAAGACGAGATTTCTCTGTGTAGCTCACTCTGTAGACCAGGCTGGCCTTGAACTCTGTAGATCTGCCTGTCTCTGCCTCCCGAGTGCTTAAAGGCCACCGCAGCCTGGCCACAACATGAATTTTTTTAAAAAATTTTATTTTGTATTCAGTAAGTCAAAGAGATCCAGACCTCCAGAACTCACTACCTGTATGAGAAGACAGACAGGTGTGTCGGCAGCTACTGGAGTGCATGATCAGGGAATGAAGAAGAGGCAAGTAGTGGAGGTCAGAGAGCTAGGGACAGCGCCGTCTGACCCAGCAAGCGCAAAGAATCCAGGCTTTCAGAGGGATGCCATGTCTACACCAAAATACAAAACAAGAAGGCAGGGGCGGGCTGCAAGATGGCTTGCCCGGTAGAAGCTCTTGCTATACCAGCCTGACGAACAGAGCTTGACCCCTGGGGCCAAAGGAAGAGGACAGCTGCAGAGGTACACATCTGGAGTACACACTGCAACAGCAGAGACAAAGGAGGCCCTGCCTCAACAAGGCGAAGACGAGAACCACTGTCCACTGACCTCCGCAGGCATGCCAGGGCACGTGCTTACACATACATATATACACATACATGCACACATGTATACATATACACACACACTAGAAAGATAGACCGATTAAAAATTAACTCTAAGCATGGTCAGACATGCCTTTAATCCAGTGGTTCTCAACCTGTGGGTCCCGACCCCACGGCAGTCCCCTCTCAGATGCCTACATTATGATTCATAACAATATCAAAATTACAGTTATGAAGTAACAATGAAAGTCGTTTTATGGTCGGGGGTCACCACAACATGAGAAACTATTAAAGTGGAGCGGCATTAGGAAGGTTGAGAACCACCGCTTTAATCCTAGTGCTTGCAGAAGGCAGAAGCAGGCGGTTCTCTGAGTTCAAGGCCAGCCTGGTCCACTGAGCGAGTTCCAGGACAGCCAGGGCTACACAGAGAAACCCTGTCTCCAAAACAGAACAAAAGACAAGCAATCAAACCATCTCAGCACTAGGAAGAGTACATGTTAGAGGCCAGCCTGGACTACACAATAAGACCCCCAGCCCAAACAAAGTGAAAAACTGGCAAACTAAACCAAGTTCAAGTAGGCAAGGGAGAGGAGCTGCTTCAGGTTGGCCACCTGAGAGTACCCAGAGAGTAGAGCGGTTGCAGCCGGGGCACTGGCGAATCACACGCAGGGCAATGCAGCGAGCCGAGGATGTGGCAAAGTGAGGCTGTGGACCTGGCAAGGCCGGCCTCAGAGGCCTCGTGGGCTGCCTGAGAGTGCTGGGCAGTGGGGCGATGAGGTATGAAATAAACACCTTCCCCACAACCCCAGAGATGCTGCAGGGAGAGAGAGCAGGGCGCTCAGACAGGAGGGCTGTTGGAGACCCGGGCGGGGTGGCAACAGAGGCACTGGAGACAAGGGAACCTCACCTGCCTGGTCCTGCTCCCCGTACCACGTGTTCCAATTGCCCACAAGCGAGCAGGGGTAGTCCTCGTCCAGGTGCAGCTTGGGCAGCACGGCCTCCCTGTGGGAGGGGCACAGAGAGGGGCAAGGGCTTGCACTGGCCACCGAGGGCTCTGAGGTAGAGGGTCCAACCCAGGAGTGACTGGGAGCGGTAGAGGGACGGCACTCACGTCAGACTGTTGTAGGCATCCAGACATTCCGGCTTCACGTTGTGAACTGCCATAAAGGACAGAGGGCAACCGGTGAGGCGCAGGCTATGCGTGTGTGTGTGGAGGAGGGGCGTCAGAGCGAGCAGGCTCCCAGGACAGCATGGGACATCCTCATCCTCTCATCTCTTTACCCCAGCCCCACCCCCGAGGAAGCCCGTGGGTGCAGCTAGCCAGTTTAGCGGCCACTCACACTGGATCTTGTAGAGGTTACTAGTCTCCTTCTTGGACAGCAGAGTGGAGTGGGCGTCCTTCCGGGGGTCCACCTTGTGAACAAAGAGGGAGCGGAACCAGCTGCCTTCACTGTCCTTAGAATAGAAGCTGCAGGACAGAGGAGGTGAGAGGGCCTCGCAGAGGCACGGGAGCCCCGACATTTTCCCTGCTCAGGTGTCCTGCTCCCCTAGCCTCATGACCTACATTTCTGAAAAAGAACCCATGAAATTCCATGGCAGCTCCCGAGAGTAAGACGGCCTCATCTGGGCAGACACAGGACCCCCTGGAGAGATCCCCACTGCCCAGGCTACATCTGGAACCCTGGAAGGGTAGAGGGGCCAGGAGAGGAAGCTGTCCTGCCACCTCTGTCCCGTATCTCCGGCCACACAATTGCAGCCTACTGCTAAGAAGGTCAACCCCAGACTCAGCTTGCTGACACCCACTAGATGGGACCCTTGTGATGATAAAGACCCTGGACCCAAGGCAGGCCATCCCTCTACTGCCTTGAGCAGCCAAGACTCCTTCTTTTGCCTTCCTGGATTCTGTGATATAACTGACAAGCCCCTTCTTACTACCTCAATGTCCTACAGGACTTCTGTAGCAACATCAGCTTCCCCTTTACTCTGTATGTACTTGAATAAAAGAACTGGGAATTCGGAATGCAAAACCTGGGGCCCTCTGAGAGCCCAGGCATTTACCCTTCCAAGTCATTAGACCACATCCTGTGGCATGGGGCAGCTCTTGCTCTTCTGGTTAAAGGCCTCCAAATTAACCCTGGAATAGAGTAGGACCACTTACATACTCAGCAGGTCCTTGACTGTCAATTCAAGAGCCTTCCACTGGATCCCAGCAGAGTCAACAGATAGCAAACTCTTATACAAACTCCAGAACTTCCTACAAAACGTACTGCCAGATCCTCACCTTGAGCCCCTTTAAGACACAGCCCCCCAGACTACCTGGCTCACAGATGTTGGCAGTATTGTGGTGGCAGGACATAGCTTTACAGAGGTCATAGAATCTGGGCCTCTTCTGGGTAATAAGCTCTTTTTGTTTGTTTGTTTGATTTTTTAAGACAGGGTTTCTCTTTGTACCCCTGGCTGTCCTGGACTAATTTTATAGACCAGGCTGGCTTTAAACTCACAGAGGTCCACCTGCCTCTGCCTCCCCAAGTGCTGGGATTAAAGGTGTTCATCATCACTACCTGGCAGGTAATAAGCTTGTAAGGCAGAATTGTCTTCACCAAAGGCAAAGAAAGACGCCTCCTCACTGCCCATCATGCCCTGATTAGACATATCTCGGAGATTTTGACCCTACTGGAAGCCACCTGGCTTCTAACCAAGGTAGCCATTTTTCATTGCCAGCCCCATTCTGGCAGTTCTTAGGATAATACGCTGGCTAATCTTCAATCAGCTTGACACATGAACTAGAGTTTCATCTGAAAGGAGGGAATCTCAACTGAGAAAAATGTCTCCATAAGATCCAGCTGTGAGGCATTTTCTTAATTAGTGATTGATAGGGGAGGTCCTAGACCCCTGTGGGTGGTGCCATCCCTCGGCTGGTGGTCCTGGGTTCTCTAAGAAAGCAGGCGCAATAAGCCATGGAGAGCAAGCCTGTAAGCAGCACCCCTCCATGGCCTCTGCGTCAGCTCCTGCCTCTGCATCAGCTCCTGCCTCCAGGTTCCTGCCCTGCGTGAGTTCCTGTCTTGACTTCCTTCAGGATGAATGATATCAATGTGTAAGCTGTATAAACCCTTTCCAACTTGCTTTTCGGTGATGGTGTTTCGTTGCAGCAACAGAAACCTTCACTACGACAGATAACAACCAAGCTGATCAGCAGGCTAAAGCTCCACTCAACCTTAGTTCCCAATCCCACCCTTCCCAAATAAACCTCACCCACTTCCCCCACTATGACAGTCACAAGCATAACAGTTCTAGCATATAGACGCCTTCACCCAATGGTCTTGTAAAGCAGAGGAAGAGAGCCTCACACATCACCACTGTTCTCTTGAACACATCATTCCTTGCTTTGCTTCTCCCAGTGCCTATCGTCTGATAATGCTTAGCTTTCCTTTCCAATACTAAGGAATAGATAAAAGCCTCAAAACCAGGTATGATCTCCCCACTGTCTGGCGATTCACCATCATCTGAAAAGGTTGAAATGGTTAATCTAACTCTTTTTCTTCTTTGATAAATACTTAATTTTTTGATAGATATTTAATTTTACGTGCCTGAGTGTATGTTTGTGCACCACATGCTTAGAGGAGTCCACAGAAGTCAGCAGACACGAGATTCCTGGAACTGGAGTTATAGAAGCTTGTGAGTTGCTGTGTAGATGTTGGAATTTGAGCCCAGTGGTCTGCAAGAGCAGCCAGTGTCCTTAACCACTGAGCCATCTCCAGGCCCCTTAATCTAACTCTTAAAAGCTCTCTAAAAAGTTTACACGTAAGATAGTTCTCAGCTCACTTTTCCTCCCAATTGTACTTTTAAGATCTCACACTCAGGTATTGAGCCAGATGTGGTGGCACACCCCTTTTAACCCAGCACTCAGGAGGCAGAGGCAGGTGAATCTCTGTAAGTTTGAGGCCAGCCTGGTCTACGCCGTAAGTTCTAGAACATCCAGGGATATATAGAGAGACCCTGTCTCAAAAACAAAACAAACAAAACTCCTTCCCTCCCAAGCCAGAAATGGGCCCAGCAGTTAGAGTGTTAGCTGCTCTTCCAGAGGACCTGGGTTTGGTTTCCAGCACCCACATGGTGGCTTACAACTGTTTATAACTCAGATGTTCTCTCCTGGCCACCCTGAATGCCAGGCACATACTTGGTGCACAGACATACATGACAGCAAAACACCCATACACACAAAAATAAACAATTTAAAAGATCTCACATTCCTTACTCCAGCAGCACTGGGTTCCTATAGTCAGCATTTCATTTCATCTTCCTGAAATCACCTAATAGTGTCATTTTTAACCATTCTGACTTGTGTTATCCTGCTACTCCTGGTCTCAGCCTCTCCTGCTTTTTCACCTTCCCCAAAAGGCCCACAGTCTCCTCAAATAACACAACTAGATCCTCGTGGGAGACTGCTGGCTTTGCCTGCGCTTAACTCTTACTTGGCCTGCAGTTCTCATTCTTTTTTTCCTTTTTTTTTTATTAATTACAGTTTATTCACTTTGTATCCCCCCCGTACCTCCCTCCCCAGTTCTCACTCTTATTTAAATGGACCCAATTAATAATTTCTGTCCAGGGGCTGGAGAAAGATGGCTCAGAGGTTAAGAGCACTGGCTGTTCTTCCAAAGGTCCTGAGTTCAATTCCCTGGTAGCTCATAACCATGTATAATGAGATCTGGTGCCCTCTTCTGGCCTGCTGGTTCACACACAGACAGAATACTGTATAAACAATAAATTAATAAATATTTCAATAATAATAATAATAAATTCCCTCTACACACATTTCCAATACAACTCTATCTTGCTGGGCTTAGCACACCTCTTCCAACAGTCTCTTAGCCAAATCCATTTCCTTGCATCTCCTCACTCACCAGCTTATTGGCTTCAGGGATATCCACCATTGACCGCAATACCTGTCTCTCACCTCTGAAGACCTCTTCATTTCCAAAAAATCCTCCGGAGCCTTCAATGCCTTACCATCCTATGATCTTGTAGTGAATAAATCAGCAGTTTCAACCTGGGCCCTGTGATGCCCTTCCTTAGCTCCATGGAGCTCAGAAGGGAGCTCTCGTCCACTGACTAGAACTTGCTCAGCTATCTAGAAAATGTAAAGAAAAAAAGGCCAGAAATAAAAACAAAATATCCCCACTTTAACAACCTGGCCTGATCCATGACATCTTTTTTGGTTTGATTTAGTTTTTTTGAGACAGGGTTTTTCTGTGTAGTTCTGACTGTCCTAGAAACTCACTCTGTAGATGATGCTGGCCTCAAACTCAGATCTACCTGCTTCTGCCTCGAGAGTGCTGGGATTAAAGATGTGTGCCACCACAACCAGCCCATGATATCTTTTGTGAGTTACTATTATTCTTTAAAAGTGTGAGTGTTTTCCCAGCATGTAGCGTACCACATGCGTGCTGCGCCCATGGAGGCCAGAAGGAGCATCTGATCACTTGGAACTGGAGTTATGGATGGTTGTGAGCCCAAATGCGGTGCTGGGAACTGACCTTGGGTCCGCTGGAAGAGCAGTGAGTGGTCTTAACTGCTGAGCTGTCTCACCAGCCCAGATCCACATCCTGCATAGACAGCTGGAATCATGACACCTTACACAAACAGCCAGCTCAAGAAAAACAACTTAATGTCATAAAATTTACTATTAAACAAGATAATGGGAGGTCCATCTATCCCCTCAAATATGGGCCTGAAGGAGAATCTCAGGCCCATTAACCATTCTGACTTGTGTTATCCTGCTACTCCTGTAAAACCAAACAACATCCCCCTTAACTGTTAGGAAAGGGTTTCCTTTCCTTTTCAGGGGTGTGACTTCCCTCTCTGGGAACTCATGCCGTCTTGCAGTGTATTTCAGTAAACTCTCTGTCTAAGCCTTGTTAAATTCCTTCATGGCTAAGTCATCATCCTTCCTATGTGTTTCATAGAGCATATATTAAATTTTTCCTATATGCACACATTTATAAAAAAGTTTAATATACAAATAATATATTTTCACATATATATGTATTTATAATTATACAATTTCATTTATAAGCTACACATAGTAAAAATTAACAATGGAAGCTGGAGAGATGGCTCAGAGGATAAGAACACTGGCTGTTCTTCCAAAAGTCCTGAGTTCAATTCCCAGCAACCACATGGTGGCTCATAACCATCTATAGTGAGATCTGGTGCCCTCTTCTGGTGGGCAGGCACACATGCAGGCAGAATACTGTATACATAATAAATAAATAAATCTTAAAAATAAAAAAAGAAATCAATGATAAACTAAAACACAATTATTCTGTTAGAAGTGATTGTGTATGTGGTCTATTTCTGGAATTTTTCATTTCATATATTCTGACAAGAGCAGATAAATAAAACTATAGAAAGTGAGACCAGAAATAAAGGGTTTGTGATATCTAATCTCCATTGGCCGCTGAGTGGGTT